GAATGATGGAGGGCAATGGTGGTGGCAGCTGTGGTAATGGCCAGCCATGAAAACACACTCCGACTCAGGTCCAAGCTGGCCCTCTCAGAAACACGGCATTCCAGTTATTTACTGGGAACTCTTACTATACTTGAATCCTGACCTTTCTGCCATCACTTAATTGTGAAAACTCTTCTCAAATACAGTCTTTTTCAGAGCCTGTAGATTAGGCTTGAATACTTCCAATTGGGCAGCTCATCCATCTACTAACAATGAACCACTGAGTTCAAAGGTTCAAATTAAAGGCAAAAAACAGTGCTTTTCGAATCTACTAGTATACAAGGTTACAGAGGCTAGAGGAACTACAGATGTGTCTTTACCATCCTGAGAAAACTCAAGGTTTAAGGTAACTCCTCTGTACAAATACTTACAGATAATTAAAAATGGTAATATGAAAATGAACTATACAATTTAAGAGTGGGGATGGGAGGGGAAAACTGGGAGAACGCAAGGGGTGATACTGTCCAAAAATAAGTGAATTCTTTAGCTGAGTTTTGTAACTGTAACCCCTCTGTACATCACCGTTACAGTTAATAATAGTAAGAGTACAGCAACGCCTCAGACTCTTGACTCACTTGTTGAGTGACTGTTCTTGAAGGATGGCCGAGTACTGAGCAGCCATTCCCAAGAAGGACCCTCCAAGAGACGCCTCAGTGGTCAGAATATTACAACTCCGACTGGAGAAGCAATTCCTGCCCAGAAGCCGAGAAGCCACGAAACCTAAGTTCCCCAAACCGAGTCCACGGCAGCCCTGGACCCACCTGCTCGGGGATCCCGGCTGCCGGCCGCTCCCCGCCCCGGGAGCCCGGGAAGCAAAGGTTAACTCCAGGCCGAGGCCCAGACGCCGACTCCAGGCCGACGGGAGGAGGAAGGTTCGACAGACACGCGGGGTGGGAGGGGAGGGGAGGGAAGCTGTCACCGTCACACGCGCGCGCGCACACACACACATACATACATACGTATATACATACATACATACCTACATATACACATATATACGCCCGCAGTCCCGGGGCTCGGGAGTTCGGGCCGCGGCTCCGTGCGGGGACCCCGAGCGCGGGAAAGCGGATCCCGCACTAGGGAAACGGAGCCGGCAGCGGGTAACGTCGGCTGGACGTTTTCCGCCTCCGCGGGACGGGGTATCAACCCCGGCCCGACCTGGGGGGAGTCGAGGGGGGCGGCGCGCCCACCGGCCCGGGGGTCCCGAGGACCGCACCAGCCTCACCGAGGCCAAGCGGGACCTGGAGGCCGGGCCGCTCGACCCCCGCGGCGCCCCTCCCCCGCAAGCCTGACGGACCCCATGGCCTGGTGTCCCCACGGCGGCTCCCCAAGCCGGACGGATCCCACGACCCGGGGTCCCCACCACCGCCGGAGGAGCGGAGGAAGGGCCCAGAGCCCCGCGCACCCACGTTGGGCCCCCGATGCCCGGCGGTGCGGCCGCAGGGCCCGACGCAGCCCCGGCTCGGGGCGCAGACAAATCAACAAAGCCCGCCACAGCGGAGGGGCCCGCGGCGCGACCGGCGAGACGGGCCGGGGCCCGCGTCCGCCGGGCGGGGAGGCCTGGACCCCGGGGGCACTGACCTTGGAGTCTCCGTTGCAGAGAGCCATAGAGGCCGCGGCGGCCTGAGCGCGGGGCGAGGCGAGGCGGGGCGGGAAGGTGCGGGAGGCTGGCGCTGAGGGCCGAGGCCTGGTCTGGGCGCCGAGCAGCCGGGGCGGAGAGGAGCCAGCCGGCGGCCGTGGGGCGCCGAACCCAAGAGCAGATGCGAGCGGCGGCCCTCACGCGGCCCGTGGGAGAGAAGGGAAGACTAGCCGCGCGCGCTCGCTCGCTCCCGCCTCCGCTTCGGCCTCCGCCACCGCCTCCCGCTTCCGCCCGGGGGTGGAGCCGCACGCAGACCGCGCGGCGAGCGGCCCGCCCTCAGGGGAGGGTCCGAGTGAAGGCCACGCCCCCATAAACGGAAACTGGCGGCCTCGCGCCCCATGACCCCACCCCTCGGGGGAGGAGCCACACCGACCCAGCGCGGCCGAGCGGCTTGCCCTCGGGGGAGGGGCCCGAGTGAGGGCCACGCCCTCACCCACGTGCAGGCCACCACCCCAGTAACGGAAATCCGCGGCCAAGGCCCCGCTCCCCGGCGGGCCGGGTTTTAACAACCCGCGAGGTCGAGAGCCCTCAGGGGAGGGGCGCGAATGTAGGTCCCACTCCCAGAGCCAGGCCACGCCACGCCACTAGTCCACGCCCCCAAGCCCCGAAACTCGCGGCCTCCGGACCCCGCCCCCCGCGCAGGGGCGCCGCTCGCTGGGGGCGCGGCCGCCCTCGGGGGAGGGGCCGAGTGACGGCCCCGCCCCGCGCGAAGCCGCGATGCCGCGAAGCCGCGGTGCCTGGGCCCAGGAGCGGAGCCCCGGGCTGGCTGCGAGTCCGGCCAGTGCGGCCAGCCTGGGGCACCGCCCGGGCTGCACCTGCGCCCGATGGCTGGCCTTCGGGGGCTGGCGTCTTGGCTGCTGGGGTCCGGGGGACCTTGGCCCTGGCTGGGCATCGCTGTGAGATTTGATCCCTTAGGTCTTTTCAAAGCTCGGTAGGGTGCTGGGACTGTGGCTTAGCGGTAGAGTGGAGGCCTAGCACGCTTGAGGCCCTGGGTTCGATTCCTCAGTACCGCACCGAAAAAGCCAGAAATGGCGCCACTGCGTTCAAGCCAGACTTGGAGGGAGGGGAGTTCCATTGAGGGAGCATAGAATAGGGGAAAATGCAGCAGACACAGGAGATATTCATTCATCTACTGCCTTTAAGATTAAGGGACCAAAGTTATTTAGAGGATAATGAGGCCGGAAAAATTGATTCAAAAATTGATGAAGGCAACTCAGAAACAAAGAGCGACTACAGGATGGATGCATTTCTTCCTGAGAGGTTTCTCACCCCCAAGAATTAACATTTGGCAGGATGTATACCTTTCTAAAAGAACTGCTCCCCCAAAACTTAACCTTCTACCCATAATGCAAACGGATACCTTCCTTATCTCAAGGATAAGGATCTGTTTTATGGCAGAATGCATTCTTACCTGGAAAGAATGCCCAGAACATCCAAAAACTCAGAAAATTAAACCAGGAATAACTGGAGCAATGATAAAGCACCTATCTTTGCATAACTTTGGAGTCATATCCCTTGCCTTATTTATAAATTCCCCTAACAGCCAAGGAGCTGTATATCTGTCTCTCCTCCAGAACACCCACACGGTTAGTATGTCTTTGCCTTTCTGTCTGCTTGGTTGCTTCCTTACTCGATAAAGCTCTGCCAAGTTTTCTCACCATGGTGAGAAATTCTTATTCTGTGATCAAATTCAAGGACCCTAAATAAAGAGTCCCTACTTTTAGAGGAAAACTTCACAAACCCTCACCTGTATCCAGTGACACTATGGCACATGGTATTTCCAAAAAGAAAGGAGTTTGGGAGCTGCCACTGGGCCAGGCACTGGGACTGAGCTTTTTCTACAAAGAGTGCTTTTACTACCATTGTTTTGAGAAGAGTAGAGGTTCCCTACCCAGACAAATGTTACATTGGATTTGAGTAACTGAGGTCCCAAATCTAAGTTGAGAAGTTACTTGGGGCAAGTAGCCAGTAACTCAAATTTGTAATCCTATCTATTCAGGAGGCTGAGACCTGAAGATCGAAGTTCAAAGCCAGCCTGGCAGGAAAGTCCTTGAGACTCTTACCTACAACTAACCACCAAAAAGCTGGGGGTGGAGGAATGGCTCAATTGGTAGAGCACCAACCTTGAGCTAAAAAGTAAGAGACAGTGTCCAGGCTCTAAATTCAAGCCCCCAGGCCCAGGGGGAGAAAATAAAAGTTACTCTGAAAGGCTTCCCCTTAACAAAGTGCAAAATAAATGTTAGAACTCAGCCACATCTACTGTGTTCACGATGTCAGGATCTAGTCCAGATATGAAGACGCCAAATGAGATAACACTGCCAAACTCACCTTATTCTAAACAATCTATGAGCATAGCGAAGTGATTTGATGTTCTTACCCACACTTTACAAAAGGAAATTAGGACCAGTGAAATAATGTAGTTAACTGAAGTGCTCACAGACTATTCTCCCAGCTAGCTTCAAACTGTAATGCTCAGATCTCAACGTCCCTAAGTAGCTAGGATTACGGGTATGCACTAGAGGCACCTGGTGGGTAGATTGTAAAGCAGAAAATTGTCCTCCTTCATTGCTAAGTGTTAAACGTGGGGCCTTCTGCCATCCTAATCATTTTCAGTTAATATTGTTAAATATACCCAATTACTCTATAACCGACTAGTAACAACTAAAGTTGTAATTTTTCTTTTTGCAAAATCAAATCTCCAACTCCCCCTCACCTAGTTCCTGGTGGCAACCTATTTCCTTTTTCGGTGAGGTGTGTGTGTGTGTGTGTGTGTGTGTGTGCCGGTCCTGGGGTTTGAACTCAAGGTCCAAGGCTTTAGCTCAAGAACGGCGCTGTACCACTTGGGCCACAGCTCCACTTGGGCATTCTGCTGATGAATTGGGGATGAGAGCCCAGCGCCATGATCCCCGGAGCTCAGCCTACGGAGTAGCTGGGACTGCAGGCCGAGTCCGCTAGGACCCGACAGCGCCGTCTACGGATCCAGCCAGCCCGGCGTGAGTTCGCCCGCCGCCCGCGCAGTCGCAGTTTGGCAGAGCGCGGACCCAATCCCCAAGGCCCACGCTGTCCAGGCTGGCGCATGCGCTCACGGAGCCCGAGCTCTCGCGGCCCCTGTCCAGCACGCTTGCGTAGGGTACGCCAGTGTGAATCCTCCCGGAGTTCCGCGCCTCCTGATTAAGGGTTCCGGAGGAGCTTGACTCTGCCGCTCGGCCGCCGGAGCGCATCCTGATTGGCTTACCCTGAGACGGACCGCCGGAACGGGTCCTGATTGGCTAGCTCTGAAACGGGGCGAGGACTGATTTGAGGCTGGGACCACTTCCAGAGGCGCCAGACCGGAAGTGGCCGGCGCCGCCGGAGTACTGGGGAGAAAGGGTTCTCTGCCGCCCCAACACCGGCCGGGGCTCGCGGCGGGCGAGACGCCGGCCGTTCTGTCCCGCCGTACTCCAGGGCCCGTTTCCATCGCGACAACACGGCCCCCTCCCGCAGCCCCGAGCCCGGTGCGGCTGCCCGGGCGGCGCCTCCCGCCTCCCCGAAGCCCTCGTCGGGACCACCGGCCGGGGACCGGCCCCCTTCCCGGGCCCTCCTGGTTGCCTCGGGCCCCGCCTGGTCGCGGTCTTAGCCCCCGAGACCCTGGTCCAGCGCGGCTGCCTGGGACTCGGGACCTGCCGGATCCAAGACGCTCGTCCCCGGGCCACCCCCAGCGGGGCTCTGCGTCGTCCCTGACATGTCGCCCACCGTCTCTCACAAGGACAGCAGCCGGCAGCGGCGGCTGGGGACTCTGAACCACTGTCCGGAGGTGAAGAGCGGCCCCCTGCCGCCGGGCGGCTGGGACGACTGCCAGCTGGACGCCATGGGCGGAGAAGGGGACCGAGAAGCACTTTTGAGGGACGCTGGCCCCGGGGACTCGCCGAAGGGCCCTCGGAGTTACCGCGCCGAGCTGGGCAGCATCTTGCTGCTGCTGCTGCTCTACGTGCTGCAGGGCATCCCCCTGGGCCTGGCAGGGAGCGTCCCCCTCATCCTGCAGAGCAAGAACGTCAGCTACACGGACCAAGCCTTCTTCAGCTTCGTCTTCTGGCCCTTCAGTCTCAAGCTGCTCTGGGCGCCCTTGGTGGACGCCGTCTACTTGAAGAGCTTCGGCCGTCGCAAATCGTGGTTGGTCCCGACCCAGTACGTACTAGGACTCTTCATGATCTACCTGTCCACGCAGGTGGACCGTTTGCTGGGGAACACCGACGGCCGGCCCCCCGACGTTGTGGCGCTCACGGTGACATTCTTTCTGTTTGAGTTCCTGGCCGCCACACAGGACATCGCTGTTGACGGCTGGGCGTTAACGATGCTATCCCGGGAGAACGTGGGGTACGCTTCCACTTGTAATTCGGTGGGCCAGACCGCAGGCTACTTTCTGGGCAATGTTTTGTTTCTGGCTTTGGAATCCGCGGACTTTTGTAACAAATATTTACGGTTTCAGCCTCAGCCCCGGGGAATCGTTACTCTTGCAGGTAGTGTATGGAAACGTCATGCTGCTCGGTCATCTTAGGGTGAGGAATTGTCTTGACAGTATGTGAAGCACGTTATTTCAGGGACTGGGAATCTTAGGGGTGCGGGGGGTGGTGGCTCGAAGTATTTTTTGTGATTTTGGTTAAAAAAGACGTTAACCAGAGTATCAGTAAAGCCAGCGAACTACATAAGAGCCGTCGTTATTGATCTGTCAGCAGACAGGAAGTGGCAGAATAACCAAACTGCACCTGAGATTCACTGGCACTTGCGGAATACACAGATGTACATTGGGACAGGGGAAAAAAAAGTCTAGCACATGTGGCTCAGCTTTTCCCTGGTGTGTTGGTTGGATTGATTACTCGCTTCCTGCTGTCCTTCCCTTTCTCATCCCTGAGTGCTGTGTCCTCATTTCGTCATTTGCTGGGGAAGCAGGCCATTTCATTCAAACTGAATTAGAGTTGGTTCTAAAGGCCACCTGAATAAGGCAGTCTTGAGGACATGGGACGGGGAAATGGACTTTCATGGGAACGGAAAGTGTCCAGCCATTGGCTGCCTTAGAGCGAGTAAGAATTCTCATTTTAGATAGCATTTGACTTATGAGTGTTTTATTATGACTAACTTGCTCTTTTGTATATCTGTTTGACGGTAGAATTTGAACTTTATTCTTCAGGACAGTCTTTGACAGCTTTTTTAAATTTAACTTTTTGTGTCTGTAGACAGTGGACTTCTGTTGTTGGCTCAAACATTTTAGTTAAAGAGTTCTTAGGCTTGGCAGTGTAGTTTAGTGGCAGAGTACTTGCCTAACATATAGCAGGCACCAGCATTGGGGATTTATAAAAATAAAAAACAGGTTAGAGACTTTCTGTTTTCTATTTTCCTTCTAATTACACATACCATCTTGATGAGTAAAAGTTTGCATGGGATTGAACCAGCATTCTTATATGTGAGGCAAATGCTTATTGGAGATTGAATTTAAGTCCCAAATCCTGACCAGTGGTTGTCAGGGATTTTAAGCAGAAAGAACCATGCACTCTCAATCAGGAAAAAGAAAGGAGAGGAGGAAAATCTGAATATTAGAAGGACACATAACTTTTAAAAATTTAAATGTGCTCTAGGGTTATCATTGTTTTGAGTATTGCCAATAAGTAGAGACGGAGTATACTGAGAAGGAAGTACTTGACATCCAGAAGGCAGAAATTTTGCATAAGAGAATAGGATGAGAGCTGAAGCCCTTAGAGCAAAGCCTCAATTACATGGAGGTTGGCTCTTTCAAACTTGCAGGACAGTCCTGAACTCAGAAATAGGCCTATTCTATTCTCAAGAGTCTTCTCTAAACTATTTTCCTCTAGAAAAGAGACCTTTTAAGGTACAAGAAATGATAGACCCAAAAGAACAAAAAAGTTTGAACATAAAGTTTTATTACTTGAAAAGATAATTTAATTCAGTTTCTTCGGGTTTTTTTGCAATGAGGAACTGAGGTCAAGTGACAGGTAGAGATAGACTTGTAGTTGAGGCATTTCTGATTCCTGATCTAAATTCATACATTTGGTAGGAAATTAGGAAAAACTTCAGGAAAGCCCTTGAAATCTGGATATAAGGCTTTATTTTTTCCTTCCTTTATTTTTTCTTTATTTTATTCTTTATTTTTTCCTTCCTTTATTTTTTTTCTCTCCCTCTCTCCCCCATCTGTCTTTCTTCCTTTCTTTATTTTTTCCTTTCTTTCCAGAGAAAAAATATTATGACACCTGATGTCTGAAAAACTCCAGCCTACTCCAAGAGTGTTTTATTTCCAGAATTGGCAGTCTAAAGTTTTCTTGTTTTAATTTTTTAAGTGCTGAATGCTTATTTGGCAACAGGGTTGTAAGTGTTATAATTAAGTTAAACTTGGAAATTTTCTCTCCCCAAGAATCTCATCATAGTTTATCATGTAGATTTCTTTTTTTTGGGGGGGGGGGCCAGTTGTGGGGCCTGAACTCTGGGCCTGGGCACTGTCCCTCAGCTCTTCAGCTCAAGGCTAGCGCTCTACCACTTGAGCCACAGGGCCACTTCCGGCTTTTTTCTTTTTGCTTATGTGGTGCTGAGGAATTGAACCTAGGGCCTCATGCATGCAAGGCAAGTGCTCTACCACTGAGCCACCTTCCCAGCCCTATGATGTAGATTTCTAAGTCACAATAATGAGCAGGTAGATGAGTAATGTGAATAGAAAGGAGCTTCTTTTCTAATGACTTATTTTCTTGTGTCAGGGATCCCAGGATTGCTAGATCTTAAATATACTCTGGTTGAGATGCTAATTCCCTTCTTGTTTATTTCCCTACTTTAAAAATGCTAGTTAGGGGCTCAAAAGGTGGTTCAGCAGTAAAATACTTGCCTCGCAAACATGAGGCCTGGAGTTGGATTCATCAGCACCACATAAACAGAAAAGGCCAGAAGTAGCGCTGTGGCTCAAGTGGTAGAGTTCTAGCCTTGAGCTGAAGAGCTGAGGGACAGCACCCAGGCCTAGAGTTCAAGCCCCACGACTGACCAAAAAAAAAAAAAAAAAAAGCTAGTTAGGTCTATATAAAATATGTCATTAGGCCGGAACTAGCCTGTGACTGGAAGCTGAGATCACTGATATAGAAGCAGTACAGTAGTAACTGTAAGGCTTAGAACAGCAGCTGAGATAGCAAGCAGCAGATGTGATCTTAGCACAGTTACGTGTGCTAGAACAGAAGAGAGAAGAGGAATGCATTAGACATTTACATTTATAGATCTTTTTTTAAAAATATTTTTCTGTCGGAATTGGGGCTTGGACTCAGCACCTCATGCTCTAGCTTAGCTTTTGCACTCAAAGCTGACCCTCTTCCACTTGAGCCACAGTTCCACTTCCAGCTTTGCTGGTTAATTAAAGACAAAAGAGTCTTTAGGACTTTTCTGCCCTGGTTGGCTTCAAATTGAATTTCAATCCTTGATCTCAGTCTTTTGAGATTACAGCTGTGAATCACCAGCACCCAGCTGGTTGGAGGGCTGAGGAGGGAAGGAGAAGAGGACAGGAGGAAGAAAGGAGTGAAGAGGAGAGGGAGAAGGAAATCAGAAAGGAGAAGAGGGGTGTGGAATGAAGGAGAGCAGAGGAAGGAAAGAGGAGTGGAGAGGAGGGGGAGAAGGAAATGAGGAGGATGTGGAATGGAGGAGAGCAGGAGGGAAGGGAAAGAAAGGAAGAAAAAGGTGGCATAGCCAAATTGTGTTATTTTACAGCTGCAGAAGCTGAGAGGAGGTCTTCAGTACTTCGTGGCAGCTAGTTAACGTGGTTTTCAGCAAGATTAACAAGGCTCGGGTTTTGCATCAGGCATCAGGTCACACATTTGCCATTTAGAATGTGACTGTAGGCAGTTTGATCTGGAGCGGGGTTAGGGAGAGCCTCATGTGGGGTTGTGGTAAAGGAGATAATATGTGTAAAACACTGGCATATGTGGCACATGGCATGCATGTTATTAGTGACTGTCAACACCAGGGCTCACTTGCTCACCGGTCAGCTTGTAATATAGGCCAGCTGTCTTTCACTATAACAGCCATCCCACACCTACAAGTACAAGGAAGTTACTTATCTGCTACTGTGTTAAAAGAGGTATTACTCGAGCAGATAAAAAAAGGTGTCTGAGTTGCTGAAGTAATGCCATGGTTGGGGAGTGTGAGGTGACTTCACTGGTAGATGCTGCATGCTTTGAAACTCAACCTCCCGCCGCCCCCCCCACACCTTTGTCTGAACTGGTATGCTATGCTTTTGTTTCATTTAGCACGGTCATGCGCTACCTGTCTGTAACCTTCCTTTTCTTTGGTAAGTATCACTATTTTTTGAGTCAATATAGTAAACAGAGTGAGGACTGTTCGTCTGCTATGCCTCGAGCATAGGCACCTATGTCCCTTGGGAAAAGTTGTGTATTATTTAGTGTAATTATTCATTTCAAAAGTTAATTACAGACTTAAAAATTCTTAATTTCAGATTTTCTTTTTTTCTGGGGAACTGTATTTTTAATCACAACGACATTAGTTGCCCTTTTGAAAAAAGAAAACCGAGAAGTACCGGTAGTGAAAGAAGAGACACAAGGCATCACAGACACCTATAAGCTGCTTTTTGCAATCATAAGGATGCCAGCAGTCCTGGCATTTTGCCTTCTGATTCTAACCTCAAAGGTAAGAGCTTTGGAAGCACACTCCCCTTCCATGGCAGTTGCCAGCTTTATGGAGTTCTTTCTGTAGAACTCAGTCCTTAGCACAGCCCCTTCCTACACCATGAGGCTTCTGCAGTGAAGAGCAATATTTGTTTGTTGCATGTACTTAAAATTGTGATGATATCAAGTATAATTTTTTAAAAAGCTAAGTGACTTGGAATTTTGTAAAGAATCACGTCAGTTTAAAGAACTGGTAGTAAATATGAATTTTATTAACGTTATTAATGGTTGTGATAGAAATGAATACCTTGATAATTAATAGCTGTGTCTTGTTGAAATGATTACACCCTTAAGAATATTGGGATGGTAAAATTATCTATGGAAGTGTATGAGTGTTGAGACATGTATTTAAAAACCCATTTAATTGGGCTGGAAATGTGACTCAGTGGTATAGCAACTGCTTAGCAAGCATAGGCCAAGTTCAAAACCTAGCTACTGAGATCTGAAGTTCATGGTTCAAAGCTAGCCAGAAAAAAACATGAGATTCTTTTTTTTTTTTTTGGGTCCGGTCGTGGGGCCTGAACTCTGGGCCTGGGTGGTGTCCCTCAGCTCTTCAGCTCAAGGCTAGCGCTCTACCACTTGAGCCACAGTGCCACTTCCGGCTTTTTTCTTTTTGCTTATGTGGTGCTGAGGAATTGAACCCAGGGCCTCAGGCATATAAGGCGAGCGCTCTACCACTGAGCCACCTTCCCAGCCCAAAACATGAGATTCTTATTTCTAGTTATCCACAAAAAAAAAGTGGAACTGTGGGGCTGGGAAGTTGGCTCAGTGGTAGAGTGCTTGCCTTGCATGCATGAGGCCCTGGGTTCAATTCCCCAGCACCACATAAGCAGAAAAAAAAAAGCCAGAAGTGGCAGTGTGGCTCAAGTGGTAGAGCGCTAGCCTTGAGCTGAAGAGCTGAGGGACACTGCCCAGGCCCAGAGTTCAGGCCCCACGACCGGACCCAAAAAAAAAAAAAAAAAGTGGAACTATGGCTCAAATGCTAGAATGCTAGCCTTGAGCACAAAATCTCAGGGACAGAGCCTAAGATAGGGGGGAAAATGGTTATTATTTGTATGTATTATGTTTATATATTTCTATATATTATGTATAATTCGTTTTTAAAAATGATATACTTTCATACTGAAAATTTGTTGGCAAGGGAACCTCATAGATAGGCCTTTAGAGTCTTTTTTGGGGCAGAGAGTCTGAACTCTGGGCCTGGGCGCTTTCCCTCAGCTCTTCAGCTCAAGGCTAGCACTCTACCACTTGAGCCACAGTGCCACTTCTGGCTTTTTCCTTTTTGCTTATGTGGTGCTGAGGAATCGAACCCAGGGCCTCATGTATGCAAGGCAAGCGCTCTACCACTGAGCCACCTTCCCAGCCTCCTTTAGAGTCTTAATTGACAGCATTTAACTGTTTCCTTTATTCTTTTGAAATGTTTCAGAGCCATTGGTGTACATTGTGTACCCTTATCTATAAGTAACTTAAACTTGTAACCCAAAGAACAAGATTCTCTTTCACAAAACTAAGCTCATAAGAAACTAGGAAGTTTAAAACTGATCAAATTGCTTTGAGTGGTGGTAGAGCTTGAACTTCAGGCCTCCAGATTAACATTAGCTTTTTTTCTTTTTTACCTGAAGGCTGGCTCTATGACTTAAGCCACAGCTCCAGTTGCAGCTTTTTGGTGGTTAATTGGAAATGAAAGTCACACTTTCCTGCCTTAGCTGACTTCAAACCATGATCCTCAGATCTCAGCCTCCAGAGTAGCTAAGATTAGAGGTGTAAGTCACCAGTACCCAGCCTAAAGGCTTTTCTTTTAAACTTATGATACACAAGCTTGTAAGTGTTTATTTTATATAACACATTGGAAGTGAAAGCTTTTTTGAAGTGAAAGCTCAGTTGTTAGTTGAGCCGCTGGTAGTTGCTGTCGGGGTTAGGTGCTGTGGCTCTCACTGGTAATGTGCAGGCTGAGGCAGGACCCTCACTCTAGGACTTGGCTGCTCCCTCCCTGGACAGTGAGGCCGGGTTCCTAGTGTAGAGCACCAGTCCACATGCTTGCTTATTTCCGTTGCAGATTGGCTTTTCAGCCGCAGATGCAGTGACAGGACTGAAGCTGGTGGAAGAAGGTGTGCCCAAGGAGCACCTCGCCCTGTTGGCTGTGCCCATGGTTCCTCTGCAGATAGTGCTGCCTCTGATCATCAGCAGGTACACTGCCGGCCCCCAGCCGCTGAACGTGTTCTACAAAGCCATGCCCTACAGGTGAGTGCCAGAGGAAGCCTAGCGAAGCATTAGAAGAGGGAGAAACCAAACTGCAGGCCTGCAACAGATGGAGGTGTGGGGGAAGCCGAGGAAGAGCCTGGGGACCACCCACTGCCCCCAAGCATGCCAGCTGCCCGAGTTACAGGTGCTGGGTGGGGGACTTCAAGAGTGTAGGAAAGAACCCAGGGGCTGGCCATCTCTTCCGGAGGACCTAACACTAAGAAGAGTGGTTAGCAGCTGGGCGCCCGTGGCTCATGCCTATAATCCTAGCTACTCAGGAGGCTGAGGTCAAGGATCGCAGTTCAAAGCCAGTCCAGGCAGGAAAGCCCGTAAGACTCTTATCTCCAATAAACCACTAGAAAACCGAAAGTGGCTGAAGCAGTAGAGCGCTCGCCTTGAGCTGAAGAGCGCAGGAACAGCACCCAAGCCCAGAGTTCAAGCCCCACGACCGACCAAAAATAAAAGAGCAGTTAGCACGGGGGACAACCCCAGTGTCACCACTGGCTTAAGGAGAGCTTGTGCAGAGATGGTGTGGCTCTAATACCACCTGCGTGGTAGGCACTCGTGGTTCGCACATGGTTACTCCCGGTTCCTTTCCCCCTAGGTTATTACTCGGGCTGGAGTATGCCCTGCTGGTCTGGTGGACTCCCAGAGTAGAGCACCAGGGTGGGTTCCCGGTCTATTACTACGCTGTGGTGCTACTGAGCTATGCCCTACACCAGGTAAGCAGCCTTCCCGAGCTAAGACAGTACAGACATTTCCTACACTTCACTTAGAAAAACAGCATTTAAGATTTAAACATGAAGTTCACAATGAGGATAAAATTCAGTGGTGAATCTTGGTCTTGGGTCTTTTGACATTGAGTTTTAAATTTTTCATTCAACAAGAATTTGTTACATTTCACAATTATCTCCTGAACCAGTTAATTTTCCACGTATTTTTCTTTTTGGCACTATTGCAGTTTGAAATCAGAGCCTTGGGCTTTCTAGACAAGTACTGTACCACCTGAGCCAAAACCCAGCAGTTTTTGTTCTGTTTGGTTGTTTTTTTTGCTTTGGGTTTTTTTTTGCGGGGGTGGGGGTGGTTATTTTTTGTTTTTGTTATTTTTCAGACAGTCTTCCATTTCTGTCCAGGGCTGGCCTTGGACTATAGTACATCTACTTAAGCCTCCTGAGTAGCTGGAGGAGTAAATCACCATGCCAGCTTGTTAGTTGAGATAGGGTATCACTAACTTTTTGCTTGGGTGACCTTGAGGTGTGAGCTTCCTGACCTCTGTCTCACCTCCAGCTGGGATTGCAGGTATGAACCACCACGCAGACCCCAGCTGATTTTACTCTTGCTTAAGTAGTTATATCCATGGCTGTGGGATCTTTCTTCAGCCCCCATGATGTGTTCTTTCTGAAGAAGTTGAGAAATCACAAGAGCTACTGGATTAAAGGCCTCAGACTGTGACTTCAGTGTTACCCATTACAACTTAACATTTGTGGTATATGGGCTCCATCTGCGTCAGCCTCAGGTAGGCAGCTGTTCATTCTGGACCCTCAGACTGACACAAAGAGCTGCGTCCTTGGGTACAGTTGCTGCCATTTGTTAAGGCAGATTTCCTATGGAACCCAGACTACAGACTTTGGAAGTTATGGGCATACACTTCCTAAATGAACCAAAAAGTAGCTACCAGCTAATCTTAGTAGTTTGGGTTGTTTTATTTTTTCCTATACAATTGCTATACAATTAGAAGTATTAGTGCATCTCGACTGACCGTATGTTTATAGTCATTGTGCCCATACTCAGATATGTATCCACATGTGTGTTGATAGTCCAGGTTCACATGCTTAGGTAACACATGCCCATGCATGGAGATACAGGAATATTTGAGTTTCGGTAGCACCTGTCTATGGAGCAGGTTGATTGCTATAGACCAAATGTTACTCCTTTAGCTTTAGATTTCAGTAGGGAAGCTCTCAGAGTGAACTAGAGAAATTGCACCAATCAGGTGCTCATGGAGAAAAGGTACAAGGTCAGGAACAGAGAAATGGGGTAGCCAGGACTCAGCTTCCTCCTCCAGCAAGTTCTGAGGAAACATCTGGGCTGTCAGGACGCATGCGCCCCTGGGGGGCCCTGGAGAAGTCCTGTCCGCTGTGCTGTTAGTGAGGAGCCTTTGGTGGCGCATGAGTTCACATCTCTGCATCCCATTTGGCCTTGTAGCTCCTCTCTAGGAACCTCTGAGAGAAGTTCAGAGGAGCACCACCTCAAACAGGGTTTCTGTAGCACCCTGCTAAAGGTTTTTATTTTTCCCATAGGTTACATTGTACAGCATGTATGTTTCCATAATGGCTTTCAATGCCAAGGTTAGCGATCCACTGATTGGAGGAACCTACATGACCCTTCTGAATACCGTGTCCAATCTAGGCGGGAACTGGCCTTCCACGGTGGCTCTGTGGCTGGTGGATCCCCTCACGGTGAAAGAGTGTGTGGGAGCATCCAGCCAGAACTGCCGGACACCTGATGCTGTCGAGGTGAGTATGCTGCAGAATCAGCTGACGTTGGGCTCATGGTAGGATGCTCGTCTTCCCATTGCCTCTGAGAACAGTCTTGTGAAAAGTCACATGTGCCTGTAGTTTCTATATAGAAATGTACAACTTGTCCCTGTGACTACAGGGACCTCTCAGCAGAGGAGCCCTCCCCTCCTCAGGGATCACTGTGGGGCAGTGCGTTTATAGAGATACAGTAAGTTCAGAGAATCTAGGAAAAGAGAACATTCCATCAGTTTCCTAGTAATTGCACTGAAACTGAGTGGTAAGTATGGTTTGTCCATAAATTATTTCAGATTAACATTAGTCTTCTAGAACAGTCATTGGCAACTTCCTCACATTTCAGAGCAGAAAAGACTGCGTTTTGAAAATAAGTACTGTTTATGGCAAGAACTCAAAATTATTTTAGATCTGTAGCACTAAGACACATTAGCATAGTTTGCCATTTAAAGGGAGTAAAATATTGAGATGTTTTTAACAAATGTCTCATGATAAATCTCTTAAATTGCATAAATCTTTTAAAGTAGAGTAATTGCTGGATACTTTTATTTTGAAATGGGATTATTCATTATAATTTTATTTTTATAGCTTTGCAGAAAACTCGGTGGCTCGTGTGTTACAGCACTGGATGGTTATTATGTGGAATCCATTATCTGTGTTTTTATTGGATTTGGTTGGTGGTACTTTCTTGGTCCAAAATTTAAAAAGTTACAGGATGAGGAGCCATCTTCCTGGAAGTGCAAAAGGAACAATTAATGCGCCACAACAAGCAGACATGCCAGAAGGTAACTAGGCTTAGTTTTGTTCAGAGAGCTGTGATAATCAGTGCATAAGACTATAAAATATTATTTTAAACAAGGAAATTATATAAAATGCCAAATGGTTGAAAAGTAGAGATGTCTTTATGTTTTATCATACTTTTTCCTTGCCTTGTTAATGTATTTAAAATTTCCTGAAGGCCAGGAAATGGGCTCTGTCATGACTTTCTTGTACTGAGGCATACTCTCAGTGGCAGCCCAGCGCTGACCTGCAGCCAAGTGTTGGTGTTGGTTCCTGTTGTTGAGCTGTATTTTAAATTTGGGTACAGTATACTAAATGCAAGGCAGCTCGCTCGATACTCGGAACTGACTATAACTGGTTGAGCCTCGCTGGAAGTTAATATCCTATTTGAATTGTTAGCCAGTTAGATTTATGTGAAATTTGATAGGAAGAGAATGTAGACCCCAGAAGCATAACTTAGGTGTTTTTTTTGTGACCATGACCATATTGTACAAAGGTGTTTAAAAAAAAAGGAAGAAAATGCTATTTTAAGTGTACTTTCTGCTTTTGTAATCATTAAAAATTTATAAGACTTATTCAAACTATTTTTTATAAAATGAAAACTATGATTTTTTTTAATTTATTGATTTCCGCAGCCCTTCCACCCTTTTCTAGATAGTTTGATTCCTTGTTAACTTTGACTCTGTGATGGTGACAGGTTTTTGTTATAAGTACGACAGAGCAGACAGCTAGCTAATGGGAGGATCAGATTTAGTGTTGTACTTATTTATGTTCATGGCATTTTGAAAATAAAATATTCTTCAAACACTTGTTTTAATTACTATGAAAAAAACAGTAAACTTTCCAACAGAATGTAATTTAAATGAGTAATAACACTTTTGGAAAGTAACATTTTAACAGTGAAATGAACATTTCTGTGCCTTTGACAAATTAAGTCATGTGGCGGGGGAGTTTTTTAATGAAGCACTTTACTGGTGAAAAGATCTCGTAATTGCTTTATGCCAAATCAGCTATTACTTGTCCTTTTGTTGAAGCTCAGCCTTCTGTTTTTTACATAAACTCATTCCAGTGGAATATTGCCATTCCAAGAGAATTAAACTTTGAGCCCATTAACAAATTCACACAGGGTGGTAAGGTTCTCAGAATATTTTGTATCAGGTGTTACTCTTTTAAAATTGTCTAAGTCCTCCCAAATTAGGAACAAAGAGATGAAGGTATGAGTCTTAGTATTTATCTTCAAGCACACACTTCTTATTTCAGGAGGCTGAGATAAGAGGATCATGGTTCAAAGCCAGCCTAGACAAGAAAGTCCTAGAGACTTATCTCCAATTAGCCACCAGAAAACCAGTAGTGCTGTGGCTCAAGGGATAGAGTGCTTGGCTTTGAGCAAAAAAGCTCAGGGATAGAGCACAGGCCCTGAGTTCAAGCCTCACAATTGATTTTAAAAAACAACAACAATAATAATAGTAATGATAATTTTATGTTCGTATGAAAAACCTTACTGACTCCTGTGAATTTTATAATATAGGTTGGATTTAGAGCGGGGGTTTTTGTAAGTGATGGAGGATAACTGGGTGGGAGAAAATGGCCGAAGGCTGACAGCCAGCACCTGAAGAAGAGTGGGCGTGGCGCTGCACTAGCTCTGCTGTGGAAAGCCGTGACTGGTATCCGGGTCAATCAAGGAGAGGCCAGGAGGTTGCACTGGACCAGACTACAGTACTTTGCCATGGGGCAATCCATGATCATGTATTGTAATCCAGATGTTTACTTGAATAAAGAAAAAAGCCCACTGGACTCAGATGTGTGAAATGTTGTGTTTTGTGTGTTTTTTTTTTTTTTTTTGCCAGTCCTGAGGCTTAAACTCAGGGCCTGGGCACTGTCCCTGAGCTTCTTTTGCCAAGGCTAACACTGTCACTTGAGCCACAACGCCACTTCTGGCTTTATCTATGGTACTGAGGACTCGAACCTAGGGCTTCAATTGCAAGCTAGACAAGCACTCTACCACTATGCCACATTCCTAGCTCTGAAGTATATTTTCATTTTTAACTCTTGGATTAAGAAGCTCGGGTTTCAATAACATTTTATTTCACCTAATGGCTCACACCAGTAATTCTACCTACTCAGGAAGCTGAGATCTAAGAGTCCTGATTCAAAGCCAGCAATGTCAGGAAAAGTCCACAAGACTTATTTCTAATTAGCCACCAAAAAGTACAAAGTGGAGCTGTGGCTCAAATGGTAGAGCACCAACTAGCCCTGATTGAAAAAAAAAAGCTCAGGGCAGCATCCTGGCCTTATCAAGCCCCATACCAGCACACAGAAAAGATAAATAGCCCAAGCACCAATGGCTCGCACCTGTCACCTTAGCTACTCAGGAACCTGGGATTTGAGGATTGCTTAAAGCCAGCCCAGTTTGGAAAGTTTGGGAGACTCATCTCCAATAAACTACTCAGAAATGGCCAGAGGTGGTGTTATGGCTCAAGTGGTAGAGCTCTATTCTTGAGCAAAAGAAGCTGAGGAATAGAGCCCAGGCCCTGGATTCAAGCCACAGGACTGGTAATAAATAACCTTTTTCCCCCCACTAATATTCAAGATATACATATATATATATATATTCAAGAATAGAAGGATTATGTTCCAAGCCAGTCTGGGCAATAGTAAAACTCTTTGGAGAATTAAACAGCCTGGAAATATGGGCCAAGTGATAGAGTATCTGCCTAGTAAGTATAAGCGCTTTTAAGATCAAACCTCAGTACCACAGGAAAAATAATACCGATGGGGCTGTGGCTACCGTTCACAGACACTGCAGGAATTACCAGTTTGGGGTGCTGCTGCGTGGTAGAGTACTTGTCTACATATGGGGGGGGTGGATTTGCAAGAAAGCAAACTCGGTGTCAAACGTCATTGTCGAAATCTCTGAGCATGTTGTGCCCATGTGCAGGTTTGAGTTTTAAGTACTTAGTGCATGGTCACTTCTGCGGGGCTGAGGAGGCCTGGACGTGGCCTTGATAATAGGCACTGCTGCAATATTTTGAGCATAGGGGAAAGGTTTGGTTTCTATTAAACCTTGGTGGTTAGGCACTGGTTTTTTGTTTGTGTTTTCTTTGCCAGCCCCGGGCCTTGAACTCGGCCTGGGCGCTGTCCCTGAGCCTCTCAGCTCCAGGGGAGCGCTCCACCACTTGAGCCACTGCGCCACTTGCGGCTTTCCCGCGTATGCGGTGCTGAAGACTCGAACCCACGCTGGCCTCACGCTCGCCAGGCCGGCGCTCCACCACCGAGCCGCCTCCGGCCGGTTTCTGCACAGTTTGAAATGCTGGAGAGGGTCCGCGGGGCGCGCATACCCGGCGCGGGGACCCGCGGGGCGCGCACACCCGGGCCGAGCCTCCTGCGCGTCGGCTGGGCGTCCGGATTCCGCACGGCCGCCTGCAGTCCCGGCGCGCGCTTCCGCTTTGACCCGGCGCCACTTCCGGCTTTTCGCGGGCTAATTGGAGGGAAGTCTCCAGGACCTTCCTGCCCGGGGTGGCTTCGAACCCGGAGGCCCCGCGCTCTGAGCGGCGCGGAGGCCCACATGGCGGAGCAGCCCGCGGGCGCGGAGCCGCCAGCCTCGGGCGGGCGCGACGCGGCACCCAACTTAGTGTCGCGGGTCTCCCAGTGGGCAGACGACCACCTGCGCCTGGTCCGGGTACGCGGGGCGGCGCGAGGGGGGGGGGCGCGGGGCTGGGGAGGGCGGCGCGAGCTCGGGGGCGCGGGGTGTGTGTGTGGGGGGGGGAATCCAGAGGTGCAGTGGCAGCGGCGCAGGCCCCTCCCTCTCGGCCGTTGCCGCCCCGCCCCGTTTCCCAGGAGTCCGCTGGGCGGTGCGCGGGGCTCGGCCGGCCGTCCCCGCGGGTGCCACAGGCGCGTGCACACGGGCGCGCGCACAGGCACACGGACGTGCACGTGCATGTGGCAGTGGTTCTGTTTTCAGCCACTGGTAGGGAACGGGCGTACCCAGTTGCTGTGCCCGCGGAGGACCGGGGTGGTGCCAACGACAAGGAGCCAGGACAGGTCGCCCCAGCCTAGGAACCCTAGGAATGTGCCGCCGCGCAAACCCCAGGCACAATGCAGAAAGACATCTCGGGGGAGACTGAAGCTGCAGAAGTGGCCTAGAACTGCGGCCTGAGGGGATTTAACACGGGTGGGGCCTAAAGGAACGATCCAGAAAACACTGGAATGAGGGGGGCACCCACGTGTCCAAGAAGCCAGCTGAAGGAAGGTCCAGCTCTCTCTACAGCGTTGCCAGGAAGCTGGGTGAACTGGGTTTGCAAACACTCCGCAGCAAGCCCCGGGAGGTGAAGGGCAGCATGTCTGAGCTCACCTTTGTAGCCTGGCCTTACCTGGTGCCGGCTTCTTTAGCATTAGGCATGCTGTAGGTATGGTTGACAACTGGTATAGGTACATATGTGCACACACACACATACCTACACATACATAACAGGAACATGAATGAGGAGGAAGCCTTGCTTCTTCTAGTTCAGTAAGACTAGATATATACAATTAAAAACTGACCTGAAGGCTGCGGTATAGCTCAGGGGTAGCTTGCATGGCTTGGCTTCCATGAGGTCTTAGGTCTTCCCAGTAATCCCCCCAAATTATATCTATATTTGACCTCAGAACAACTGGAAGGAAGCCATATCCACATGGAGAAGACGCTACAAGCATACCTGGCACAGAACCCAGAACGTTAGATTTGTTTATCAGTCATGGGTCTTGAACTCTGGGCCTGGGCACTGTCCCTGAGCTCTTCAGCTCGAGGCTAGCACTCTACCACTTGAGCCACAGTGCTACTTCCAGTTTTCTGGTAGTTCATTGGATATAAGAGTCTGAGGGACTTTTCTTCCCAGGCAAGCTTTGAACCCTGATCCTCAGATCTCAGCCTCCTATATAGCTAGGATTACAGGCATAAGCCACCGGTGCCCGGCCCTTAGGTATATTTTCAACTACTTTTTTAATGCACCAAGTTTAATTTGTAATTCCTAAAGGAAAATATGTTTATTATTCTTTTGGGAGAGTTTCATTATTCTTAATTTTTTCCCTTATGTTCCTAAATGAAACAGCTTTGAGCAGCACCATGTTTTCTTCAGCCATTAATTCACTTATAGTTGCCAAGGTGCTGTATGTTTTAGGTCTTTCTACAAGACCCTTAAATTTCTATGATGGGTTCAGGTTATGCTAATTATTCTGGAGATTAGTACAGAAAGTACTGAGCCATCGTTACCTTCAAGGGACTCGGGTAAAGAGGTACAGTCATGTTCCCGTGCATGCCCAGTGCTTGGAAGAGATGCAATACTGCGAAGTTAAAAGACAGGAAGATGTAGGTGAGTGGAGAGTTGGCGTTTGGGGAAGCCACCGGCCCTCAGTCATGTGAGCAGTAGGCATGGTTTGCATTGTCAGATTTTGGGAGGGCAGTCTTATTTTCCCCCATCTTCTAATAGGTGTACTTACTATTGTGAATAATCATCAGTGAGAATTAATCATTGATTCTCTCTCCACAGAACATCAGCACTGGAATGGCCATTGCTGGAAT